AGACTACCCCATGAAACACAAAACCCTAATGTAACCAAACAGAGCAATCATTGGATTTGGAGGCAGCAATTATTTCTAAACTTCATAATTTTTCTTATTTTCCCGCATTAACCCAGCAAACAACAAAGCAAAAACAAGAAGAAAACCAAGCACATTGCGTCAAACACCCTAATCAAAGAGAATGAAAACCCAATGGATGTGACACGAAGAGTACTAAGATTAATATTTTCAGAAAGAAAAGAAAAGAAGAAAAAAAACTTACCGACATTTCGATAGATTTTGCTTGAGAGGGAATGCACGTCCTTCCTTGTGTTGGTTGTAGTATTTTGTTCCTGTTTTCTCTTATTTTTGGTTAATGCTTTCTTTGTTAATGGTAGTTTTATCTTTTGCTTTTTTCTCAGCGGGAAGTTCGCTAATCACCAACTCGTTTTCAATTCGGCAAACTCCAACTGCATTTCTTGGGCTCTGTTTTTGGGTCTTAACATTGCCTGGATAGATTTTGCGCTCCAATTAGAGCTGTTACTTATTTCTCTTCTGTTCATTTTTGGGAAAAAATGATTCTATAGACGACTGGTTTGCCAAGTCAACCATGTCTATTTTCCTTTGGTCTAACGTCAACCATGTCAACAGAAAAAAAACAAAAAAAAAAAATATATATATATATATATATATTTGTGACGCCTGAAATTGTGCTTAAGATTAGTTTTTTTCTTTGGGGGTCAGTTTTGTTTTTAATTCAAAGTTGGATTGAATTGAACTTTGACCAAAAGCTTTTCTACAAGACAAAAGCAAAGATACTGAAAGCCTGGCAAGCCGCAAAAAATATATACATTTGGTGTTGTAATTTGTAACATATGCTGCTGACCATTTCCAAGCAAAATATAAGAAAAGTTGATGGTCATCCTTGTGCAACATAAGATGCACGCATTCCAGCAGTTACTTGTGTCACTGCATCGATTGGATTGGCGCTATTCTATTCTCTTCTAGGATATATTCCATTCACTTACAAGATAGACGACTCAGTGTATAATGTATTGCAGCCCTTTCCTTTCCCTTTCTGTCTGCCACATCCATATAACAAGACATAAACAAAAGATTGTTGCCATAATGCATAGGGAAAGCAGAGGGCCCAACCAAACAACTGACTACACACCACACCACAAGGAACATATGGCCATCACCAATCGGACATTGATTGAGACAAAGCTAATCAAATCTCCGGCTGCCAACAAGATAGAAAAAGTAAAGCAATAAAGCAGCCAGCCAGCCACTCATGCTTGCCAACAAAGCGAGAAACATTCCCACCAGACATTTTTAAAAAGTTTTCTAATCTTGTTCTGTAAAAAGATATATATATATATATTTCATCCATGAGAAAATTAACAAAAGTATGGTAAATCCCAACAAACCCCTCAATTATCAACCATATGCTCTGCAGCATTACCACCTCTCTTATGCTGTACAAACTAAATCCCAATCAGAGATATGAGACGGATTTTCTTCAATCTAGATATAATACTAGCTGTGGTTTTATGGTTTTAATACTTAGATATAAACCAAAACTTTTATGACAGGGGAAAGGAAGCAAAAATATCACTCATCTTGTCTACCCATCTCAACAGAGAGGAGCTCTGTGAGGGATGCCTTTCCTCTTATGCAAAAGCTTTCTTGGCTTCAATGCTGAACATACCCAAGCAGTCATCTCCTCAGATGACTCAGCCAACGAGATCGATGATTCCATTTCGCTCATGTTTGTTTCGGAATTGCACTTACCTTTTAATGAAAAATCACCATATTGTGGTATAGTAACCGCGATGAACTTGTGACTTTGGTCTTCAGGCTTCACTGGGACTATAGATGCCTGCAAATGTGTAAGCATGCACACACTTTATCATGAGAATCATGTAAAGAGAAATATACAGCACCAAAATGGAGCCCAAAAATTTGGAAATTCAATTACCTTGCAGGCAATGGAGCAGTAACGATTTGGCATGTCCTGCAGATATCTCCCACAAGCTTCACAGGAAGCACCAAACTTTGCTTTTGTTGATGGCTTGGCATCTTTGGCTAGAGGGCGAGGATTTAGATGCACAGCTTTCTCGCCGTTGATTTTATATGTCTGTAAGACGTCAAGTTGTCATTATTCGAGAACCAACAACCTCACCAAGAAAACAGTTAACAGTGATCAATCAAATCAACTATCCTAGGATTCCAGCTACCAGCAGGATTAAACCACATGAGAAATAAAACTGATGAATTTTGTTGTCTTATAACACTGACAGAATATGTACACCAATTAAAGCGCATTCAATTTGACTTGCCTACAAACTACACCACAAACACAAACCTTGAAATTTAACATCCCAAAACTATATAACAATCAGAGAGCCGACTTAAATAATCATATATTAGTCAAACTGATGAGCCGTTCTTCTTTGGTAATTATACTGGTGTCTACTAGATTAATAGAGGAAATTCAAACAACAATTGTTCTTGACTAGAAACAACAAAACAAACACAGTTTAGGAAACCCAAATGCCATTTTATTTTGTACCTGCAATGAAATCACATCCAATTTGTAAGAGTTTTATGATTGAAGACAGAGAGTAGGGAAGAAACCTGAATTTTAGAACAGTCAAGATGCTTCTGAATTTCTTGAAGGCGAACCACATCATGGTAGACGTATTTGCAGATCTGAAGCTTTGTGTGGAGGCAATGAGCCGTCATACAGTGCCTACAGAGGCGGATATTGCAATCTATGCAGAAGACATTCTTCTCATTTTTGCGAAGGTCATGATGAACACCACAGGAACCGAAGAATTTGCTAAGCAAAAGGGTATTAAGCCAATCTGTTCTGTTTTTCTTTATACAGACTTTGCAGCCTCCCTACAAAACCAACGCATTCACTATCAAAATAAGAACAAACCATCCAACATCTAGACTTTGTCATTAATCAAGACTCAACATTTGATTGTTTAGCCTTCAAACTCAAAACCATTCAATCAAATTCACAAAACCCAGAACCAAATATCACAAATTTTATCAATTTACACCATATGGTAACATTGATACATAGAATCCAATAAAAATTCATACAATCAATTTGGAAATAACAAAGCAGTCATATGCTTACCATTTCTTCAATTTACTTATGGACTGGATTTGAATTTGGTGTTATTGCAGAAGTTGATACTTGATTGATAGGGTGTGTGAGAAACATGAAAAAACTGCAGAACAGTCCACAAGGGTTGTGGTTGTGGGCAAGTTAAAGAGGAAAAGAGTATACAATGGAAAGTAAGTATAAATGGGAATCCAATTACTCCAGGGAGGCAACAGAGAGCTGTGTCCAATTTTCACATAATTATTATTATTATTATTATTATTTTTCTTCAATTTTCACAGAATTATTGGAAAAACAAAGCAATCCGCGGGAAGCTAAATATTTAATTTCCGTTGGATTAAACTTAAAATGCATCTGACGGTCATCGTTTGAGAACGTTTTATTAATTATGTACAAAATTAGTAAACTAATGAAAGGGTTAGGTCAGTGGATTTTCTCATGGGCCATCTCTAGGCAAAACCCTAGTGTTTGTGAAAGGTAAGAGCCAGACGAGTCGCTTTATGTCTTTTCCCGCCGAAATAACCGAGATTTTCGGAGCCGTTTTGTCCTTTTGATTTTAATTTCTTTTGGCATTAATGATTATTGGGGCTCTTGCTGCTTCTCTGACTTGGACTGAACTCATATTTGCTAGTTGCGATAATAAAATCAGTTATTTCAAGTGAAAAATATAGGGGGTAGAACAGTAATCAGCCAATTTTTATTTATTTATTGAAGGCACAATTGTGATTTGGTAATGGTCAACTGAAATTAAATAGGTTATTTGCTTCTATTGGAAAAGCAAAATATCGCCTATTATCACCGAAATTAAATGCATTATACCGTTTTACCCTTTGTTTTTTTCCCTTCAATTGTTTGATGAGAAATCATTGTGCATTGTTTGTGCCTTAATTATTTCCATTATATAATAAGTCAGATCTTTTCATATAGAAAGTCAAATAAAAACATATAGGTCTTTGACTTTCATAGCCTCATTAAACTTTTTGTTCAAAACCCAAAAAAATAATCCTCTGCTGCTTCTAAAAGAATTCCTAAATTTACTCCGAGAATATACAAAATCTTGGCATAGATTTTATAATCTAGGACTGACAGTAAAACACGATAAAAGCTAGGAATATATATCTTTTTTCTTTTTTTTATAGTCAAAACAAATAATATTACCCCTCTGTGGACAGAGTTCTAGTATTTTGCTTTCCTTTTTTTAAACCATTTTGGTTAGAGGTGCAGTGTTTGATAGGCAATAAAAATGTACAAAAACAGTTATGCACAATTATCTGTCTCCAATAAACTTTCATCTTTATCTGTCTTCACTTCAATTTAACCTCATCATATTATATTTACCAAAAAGAAAAACAGAAAAACCTCATCATATCATCTTTAGATTCTTAGCTTAATCAAGGCCCGAGAAAAAACCTAAAGGATGATGGCAAAGTGGGAAGAGTCCCCTTTCATTCAATTACTACTAGTACTACATTTCGATGGGCAAGGCCCAATAATCCACCACTTTTATAAAATTGGAGAATGATATTATTTAATTATCCTATCGTGGGAATTAAACTCGAGTGCATAGTGAAAAGCATATTATCGAGGGAATTGAACTCGAGTGTAAAGTGAATGACACATTATCTTGGCCAATTGATACCCAAACCGAACTTATTATGTTTTCAAAATCACACAACTCGCAGTAAAGCCAAATTCTGATTGGAAACATAAGACAAGCATAGAAGCCCAAGCTCGAAAGTGTCCAGTCTCAACTAATACAAAACTAAACATGAGGAGGCTATAATGAGGAGTTTAAAGTGAGGAGGCTATTTGAGGAGGCCAATCCCATCATAGATTCGTGATCTCGACGAAAGAACCTTGATAGCGCCCCATTGGTGGTACTCCAGGCGACCCCAACCATGAAACATTGGAACTCTATCTCAGCAATCTTGGTGGAGGGCATTTCAAAAACCCTAGAAAATGAGACGGAGGCTGAGCAAGAAATGGGGATCAAAGTAGTACAGCCATCAGAATGAAGTAGGTTTTTCAAAAGTCGCTCTCGTCAGTAGTAATCGATTAGAGTCGATGCGTAATGTAGCGTAAAATGCTAAAGAAGGAAATGAAAGGCGTGGTCTGAGAGATTTTTCCTACATTCTAGAATTTACATTATGAAGGGTAAAGTGTTGGAATTACCGTCTGATTAGATTTCTAATACTTGTGTTTTAGCGTTTGATGTAGGCAACAAAAATGCACCTCATAGTTTTTCAACATTTATCTTTTGTCAATTAAATTATCATCCTTTATCTGCCCTAAAATCTCATTGTATCATTGATCAACTGAATCGACCACTTAATTTCAGTTTCTAAAAATCTTTGGAGGCGAAATGCTCTATGATCCTGATCATAGCATTTAGTACCAAAAAGAAAGCGAAATGCTCCATTTATACTTCATCTGTGCATGAATGCCTCAAGTTGAATAATTAGAGTGCTTTCAAATAGGCATTTTATGTCAATTAGAGACACGACGATAGTTCATACCACTCCTTACATTATAGAAAGGCTTATTATCACAAAACGTCCCTAAGGTTTACGAAACTATCAGATTGCATCCTTAATGTTTTTTTTGTGTCATTCATGGTTCTCAAGGTTAGTACAAATGGTCCCTGCCGTTAGATTCCGTTAAAAACTCCATTAGTTTGCTGACATGGCATATACATATATCACAAAACATCCCTGAGGTTCACGCACCTATCACAAAATGGTCCCTACAAATTTTTTTAATTTTTTTTCATTTAAAAAGTTCATACCACTCCTTACATTATAGAAAGGCTTATTATCACAAAACGTCCCTAAGGTTTACGAAACTATCAGATTGCATCCTTAATGTTTTTTTTGTGTCATTCATGGTTCTCAAGGTTAGTACAAATGGTCCCTGCTGTTAGATTCCGTTAAAAACTCCATTAGTTTGCTGACATGGCATATACATATATCACAAAACATCTCTGAGGTTCACGCACCTATCACAAAATGGTCCCTACAAATTTTTTTAATTTTTTTTCATTTAAAAATATATATATTATATTTTAAATACATGTGACACTATATTATTGTAGATGTGGGCTCCATATATATGCCACACTAAAAAACTAATGGAGTTTTTAAAAAATAATTTAAAATTCATAAAATTTAAAAATGAAAAAACTAAGGGTTTAGGGTTCATAAATGGTCCTTAAGATTAAAATCCTTCTATAAATGATTTTTTCATTTATAAATAATTTTAAAAAGAAAACTACAATTTTATGAATTTTAAATAAAAAAATTAAAAAAATTCGTAGAGACCATTTGTGATAAGTGTGTGAACCTCAAGGATGTTTTGTGATATATATATATATATGTCACGTCAGCAAACTAACAGAGTTTTTTACGAAACCTAATGACAGAGATCATTTGTGATCGCACATACTAACCTTGAGGACCACGAGTGACCAAAAAAAATATTAAGAATGTAATCTGATAATTTCGTAAACCTTAGGGACATTTTGTGATATTAAGCCTTGTAGAAATGGAAAGGTTGTGGCATTTACCTTTGTTATACACAGTGGCAACTCGAACTGGCAACCAACCCTTGTTTTGTAACAAAATTAGATGGTTATAACCATGCATAACTTAGACTACAAGGCTACATGATGTTCTGGCCAAAAAGAGAAATTACCAAAATATGGGTTTCTCTAGCTTATGCTGTCCTAATCACCACATATCTTTGGAGCCCTCTGATGGTCTAACACATAATTCCACAGGAACCTCGGCCTTCGACTGCTTAGGTGAGGTTCCCTTGAGCAGAATTAACAGACACTTCTGCAGTGAGAGAAGTTGAACCTGATATGTGAAAATCTAATGATTTCCCTTCTTTACAATCAACCTATCAATCATAATGAAGATGGTGTTTCCTCCTCCTGCACCTATTGACATACCAACTGGCATGTTTCTGGAGGCCCATGCCTATCAACACCTTGAGGCTTGTCAGCATAACATAGGTCATGGCAAACAGGACAAGAATCCAAAAGAGTTTCCACGGAAGGGGACTGTAGGGAAGGCGAGCAGCATATACTGGAGTAAGCACTCGGATGACCTAAAACAAAGATAATAATACTGATAAGGATTATCATTTAATAATTAATATTAATAACCATATTCACACCCAAAATTCAATATTTTAATGTGTTTAAGAAAACTCCATTTCAACCCATCTCCCCCATTGGTTCTCACCAAAATGGATGTCATACACATTGATTGCCTTTTTATTTTCAACGCAGCACAAATCTTATATCCTAACCCTAATTCTATGTATAGTATCAGCAACTAGTGAACTTTTCACACCACATGTAGCATTTTCTAGATGAGTAATTCGGTGCTGCATTTAAATGGAAAGGCTATATTGTCTTAAACTACCTGTTTCATTCTATGCATAAATTTTTTTGGATTTCTCAATCTACCATAGAAAAGTGGGGATGAGTTCAATCATAATAAGAAAAGCGAAGGTAAGTATTAACAAGTGTCTTACCACACAAGCTGGTGCCAGAGGAATGAATGTGAGATTTTTCTTTGAAGCCTCTGTTTGTATATTTAAAGTCTAAGGATAAGAAAACAGAGGGTCAGCTTTTTAGAACACAATATCCAGAAGGGGAAATAGTATTCAGTGTTTATAATGTTGTAATGGACATCATCTATATGTATAAAGCAAAGAAATTATATCTGTATTATGGTTCACTGCACAGCAGTTAAACATTCTCAAGACTTGGCCAGCATGTGAGCACACAAAAATATCCATTACTTTGAAGTGAAGTGCAATGGACCTATATTATTTCCCCCTGGTATATAGATATAGTCACACCAAAGATACATGTAGAATACCTGCTTGCAGAGGTCTTCAAGAAACTCAGAGTATGCAATGGGCTTTATGTCATTGAATTTAGCAATAAATGAGTGCTTTATGATATCAATAATCATTTCACAGACGTATACCAAGAGAGCATTCTGCAGTACCCAAATGTTAAAACAGTTGCTGATCAAAAAGTTGCTGTGCATAATTTTTTTTTTTTTATAAAGAACAATTTCTCATCAAAATGTTTAGGTAAACTTACAGAAAGAAAACTTTCAAACCAGGGACCCTCAGCCTCCAGAATGTTTTGAGCTAAAACGAATAAGACAAATGCTGAAATGTGGAATCTCTCTACTGAATCTGTTCGCAAGAAAACAAATATAAAATGAGTTAAAAAAAGAATGTCAGACCAAATGAAAAGATTGAACCTGAGAGAGAAACTAGACACCAAATATAGCGAAGTGGCATCCTTTCTTTTTCTCAACCACAGAATGCAGAAACATGAGGGAAATTAAAAGCATTTTAAATCTTTTGCACCAATGTGTATACTGGGATTCTGTATATTAGCCTCTTCCCAGACTGGAGACCAATCAACAATAGCCATCATTTCGAATAGATATGAGAAATTTATACATGCATCTTGAAGTTTAAGAAATTCATAGGACATGTTCCTTGGGGTCATACAAGAAAAGCATACTCACACAGAGATTTGGGCCTGTGTTCTTTTCTGTAATCATCACATAATATGGGACTCCTTATACACATTCTATTTTCTCTATGCAACAACATTAGCTTAATAATCATTGGTGAACTTGGGACACCATACAATGATCTTACAGCTTTATACATTGCTGTGAATGCATGTTAATCAATCACTGGTAAAAATGAAGGCAACCAATAATTTATTAAATAAAGAAAGAAAGCAGCTCAAAGACTTTTTATGAAAAATATAGCAAGTATGATGACTTGTTATTAATTGGAAAAACGAGGTAAAACTTTATGAAACCAAAAAGTTCCCAAAATCTTGTCTAGCCTCTGCAATATAATAGGTCTATAGTAGTTTAACTAGGACAGAAGACACAAAATCACTGACACTAATCAATTCATGTTCATATATAACCAAAACGTTAAAAAAAAATTACCCAGCATATGAGCTAAACTTTAGTTGTAGAAAGCACATTGTAGCAAATGATAAACATTCTTCCTACAGCAAGCTTGCAATGTTTTCAGTGGCTAAGACTACAATATTTTGTTTTATTTAGCTACTGAAGACGCAAATGAAAGCAAATAGACCATAAAATATTGGCAATAAGCTAACTCACCAAAGTATACCAGACTATGAATGTTGTCCTTGCTGTATCGCTTAAATACATTGCTTTTTATCTCAGCAAAGTTATTGGATACCAGCAAAGCCAACAAGGCATTATTGTGAGCAACTATGCAGGTTGACAAAGTAATTGCCTGAGCTAATAAGATAAATGAATGAATAAGTACGTATAGTCAAGGAATCCATAGGTTATCCATGAAAAATGGAGGGAATTTTTGTTTGAGAAAATGATAATTTACAAATTAAGGATATTTGAGGCTGCCACAGCTAAAGCTTGGTCGCAAATGAATCTCCATATCCAGAATCTCATGTTTTCTGGTGGGCAACTGGCAAGCCCCTCTGCCGAGTTAAATAGAGTTTGCAATACATCTGGGTTAAAACTTTGACAGAGTTTATCAAATATCTGTATGGAGAGACAAAAACTGTTATGCACGAGTTACAGGTAGAACACAATAACAAATAATGCACTCAAGAGCATATCAAGTTGACAGACCACAACCACCATGGCCTGTTCATCATAGATTAAGCATCCTAAGTCCTAACAAGATAGAATGTATGAATGAGTCAGACTATTAACCCCAGCTTAAGGTAATAACTGTTTACCAGCCAGGGCATAAGATGCTATGTTTCATCTATTTTAAATTTTCCCTTTGTTGGTCCAACTGCAAGGTACACAGAAAGTAACTCTCTATAGACACAAGTATCACAAGATCATAAACTTTAATTACCTCCAACACATTGTACACCACATATAATTTGATTGTTCCTTGACCGCGGATCATGTGATATATTAAGCTGATATCTGAGGCAAGAAAATAAATAAATAGTACAATTAGTACACTACATCCAACTCTTGCTCTAATTAATGGGATCAATCATCAGATTGTAAGAATGCCAGGATATTGGCTGCAATAAGACACTACGTGAGAGAATAACATAATTATATTGTTAACTAACCTGTTTGCTCCAACAGAGTGACTCCACATGCCATTATAGTAAAACACCCAAAATCAGACAGCTCTGCTGCAGATGGCCTCTTAAACTGCCTGCCACAAGTATGGTTAGGTTACGTTTTGAATATCACATTTATTATGATTTAACCAAACACATGAAGAAAACCAAAATACGCAGCATGGAAACTGAGTTACACTAGTGGCTCGGACTTCGAAGCACTGGAAGGACTCAGATTGTTTAAATGGAATGACCAAATTTTATGACATGAATGGAGAAGGGAAGAGTGAACAAAGAAAACTAACCTTGAGTGTAGAAGCCTCCAAAGAGTCATTACAATTCTTGTTGGCATGATAGTGAGCAATGACAGAAATGAATCAAAACAGACGAAAAAACCAACGTCTATAAGCTGCAACAAAATTGGTCATAGTTGAGACACAGTTTTATAAACATGTTATCAAATCAAGGGTCCAGAAAAAAAAAAATAGCTGCTTAAAATACCAATTCACATCTCCATGGTAAGCGGAAGATGGTGTCATAAACTCTCTCTCGTTCTTTCTCATTGCCAAGTGTTGTTGTGCTCCGCAATGAATTCCCATTAGACATCTCTTCCATGAAGTACTTGACTGGCGACTTGTCCACTGAAAACAAATCTGAGGGAAATGTTTTTGAACAATTATTTTGAAAGACAGAGGAAGAAGAAGAATTTAAAATGAAACACAAATTGTATGAGAGAAACAAATACAAAAAAAAAAAGGCTCACAATTTGGATCTTCGGCCATGAGTCGCTTCCAATCCAAAGACTCGGCGGTCTGCAATTTCGGGACCGCGTTCCCATTTGGCTCGCTTCTCTGCTTACTCACCGAACCCGCCTCCACTCCACTGTCCTCCTTGTCGTCGGCTTCAATGCGGGACGACGTCGTTTGCGTTTCACCGACAACTCCTCCGGCGCTCCCATTGACAGGCCTCTGTCTCAGTTCCGCTGTGCCACGCAATTTCTGAAACTCCGGATCGCTGAGCTCCGTAGTGGCAGGGCACAGCACGGTCTGACTGTAACTGAATTCCAATCCGCTTCCGTTAATCCCGCTGGTTTCTCCGTTTTTGCTACTGGAATTGTGAGGGAAGGAATTCGAAACGGTTGCGTTTGTCGGGATTTCGGGTATGGAGCTGTGGGTGGTGGTGGTGTTCTTCTTCTTCTTCTTGCGTTTTCGTCGGGCGGGCTTGTCGTTGTTGTGGTGATTGGATTGGATTGGATCTGAGTTGGATCGGTAGAAGATTGCTTCTTCTTCCTCATCGAGAGAGCCGTTTCTGCTCAGAACATCGAACGAGAGATTTCGGCCGGTCGATTTCAACGCCATGACCTTGAGAGCTTCTTTTTCTCCTTCAGTTTATTGGGACATTTTAGAATCGGAGAGATTCATACTGGAGTTGTTTGTGAATTATAATAATAGGAAGTGAAGGAGCGAAAGAATGAAGGACACTGAGATTCAGAGACAGACATTCTGCTTTTCTTCTTTTGTTAGTTTTTGAAGTTTATTCCTGTTTTAGGTGCCGCTGGGCGCTGCCATCTAAATTCTTCAATGCTGGCTGGCTCAGGCTGGCTCAGGCTGTCGTTGTTATGTTACACTGTGCTGTGCGTCTGGGTTGGGTTTCATTGTTTTTTTTTTTTTGGGGGTAAGGGTTTGGGTTTCATTTCATTTGCGTAAATTTCCCAATTTACACGCTATCCGATACACGCTAGCTATATGCCACTGTGACATGCCACATGTTTAAGAAATATTTATGAATTATTGGGCTCTCTTTTTTACCTTTCTTTATGAGGAGAATTGGGCTATATACCTCTCATTTTTAAGGGTGGCTTTGGAAAAACACAAAAAAATAAAAATTGTAAAAGAAGTCAAAATGGACAAAATTGTCCTTATTTATTTTTGGATTTCCTAAGGAATCCTTTATATTTGCATGTCTTTAATTTGAAAGTTAAGAGGTTTTTCTGTCTTTTTTGGATTTCCTAAGGAATCATTTACCTAAATTTACTCATTTTTAAAACTTAACTTTGCATCCAGAGATCTCTCAAATAAAAAATTGTTTAAGAGATTCTCTTTAGAATATTCTATGAATTTTTTATCAACGATCCAAACCGTTTATTTTTCAAATATTCATTCATGAATCATCCTTACAAAAAATCAGACAAATTAAAAATCTTTAAGGCACTTAATTGAAATTAACAAAATCAATGAATACGGTGCTTCAAAAAAATACTTAAATTTTAATAATTTAATTGAATGGTTAAATGATATCGGATTCAAGTGATTTATTGTATAAATAATTTTTGAATGAATATCTACAAAACAGACAGTTTGAATTAGTGAAATACAATGTGGAGTGAGCCCTACAAAGGTATCCTTCAAATAAGTTATTTGAGAAATCCCTCAACATAAACTCTCTGTAAATAAACTTATATAAATGAAATACCTTTCAAACTTAAGGCCAATTTAAGGCCAACAAGTAATTATTTTTCTTTTTTCTTTTCTCCTCCATTGTTGGGAGGCTGCCGTGATATGTTTCCTTACTTTATGTTGCTTTAAGTTTTAATTTTCGATTTTGATTTTCTGATGTAGGATGATGATTATATTACTCATATTGTGGTTTCTGTGTGTAAATTAAAGAGTGTCCAAAATTTATTATTATTATTTTTTAAATTTTAATAATTTATTTTATTTCCATGTGTTTGATTTAGGCCTCAAATCTTTCTTCTTTTGGGCAAAATGGTTGGAGGATGGCAGTAGGACTTTGTCCTTCCATTATATATGATTTTATTTTATGTAAAATAACCTTCAAGCTCAACATATCTTCTGTATAAAGCCAATGGCCATGCTAGCGGTTTACCTTCATTCCTAACTTTCTATTCATCCTCAGTTATTTCTTTAAAAATAAGAAGAAAATAAAACAACAAACACAATTTGGTTCCATCTGTCTTTTATTTTATAAAATTCAATCTGATTTATAAGCATAATTGTATGTAGCTTTATTCACATCTTGGACCTTGGACTCTTAAGATTTTATTATACAATTTCTAAGGCCCAAATTTTGGGTTGGCCACTAAAATCACAACTGCACAAGGACGAGTGTATTACAACAGGCCCAAACTCGATCCACTGTCCGTGGGAATTGGGAGTGAGACGGTCAGACAGCAAGCAACTACTCTACCACATTATTCTAGTCCGGAGACTAGTCGTCGGTGAGGAAAAATATTGTGGGCTTTTTTGGTTCAGTGATATCCACCGTCCCCTCCAACATCTTAGCCACCTTCCCCATCGACGGCCTCAACTCCGGTCGATCCTGCAGGCACCACATGGCCGTTTTCACCATGCGATTCACCGTATCAAAATGCAGCCGGCTATCATAAGAATGCTTGATCTGACGGTCTAAAATGTCCTCCACGTTCATCTCCTTAAACACCTTATCAAAAGCCCATCTCGGAAAATACCAGTCCTCGCTCTCGATCCTTGACCCTTGGATCTCGTTGTTTCTGACTCCACTCACAAGTTCCAACAAAACCATCCCGAAGCTGTACACGTCTGCCTTGGGTGTGATCGGGTCCATCTTCACCCATTCGGGCGCCATGTACCCGCGGGTCCCCTGCATCCGAGATATGGTCACCATGTCCTCTTTCTTCTTCAGCTTCGCCAACCCGAAATCCGATATCTTGGGGCAAAAATCGTCACCCAAAAGTATATTCTCCGGCTTGATATCACAATGCAAAACCCACTCCAAACACTCCTCGTGAAGATAAGCAATGGCTCTCGCCACTCCCAATGCAATCCTGTACCGGATCCCCCAATCCAGTATCGGTTTCTGACCGTTATCCACCAAAACACCCGTTTCTTCCTCAGGCTCCGAAGACACAACCCGACCCGGTTGGAAAAGGTACTTGTCGAGGGACCCGTTAGGGACGTACTCGTACACTAGGATCCGTTGACCTTTCTCAGCGCAAAAGCCCCATAGGCGTACCAAGTTGAGGTGGTGCATCCGAGCAATAATGGTCACCTCAGCCCAAAACTCAGCGTCGCCGCCGGTGACGTGCTTCAAACACTTGACGGCCACAACGCGCTGGTCGCTCAGCTCTCCTCTGTAAACATCGCCGAAGCCTCCTCTGCCTATGAGATTTGAGAAGTCTTTCGTGGCGGCTTTGAGCTCGGCGTACGAGAACCGCTTGGGCCCGCCAGCGGGAAGGAACTCGAGACCCAGGGTACGGGCCATGTCTCTGTACTTGATGTATTTCTTTATGAAAGCCCAGAAGAAAAGCACCCCGGAGATCAGCTCAGCTGCAAAAAGGGTACAGATGATCACAATGTTTCTTGTCGTTGCGTTGGATTCTTGAGGCGGTAGAGGGAGGCTTATCTGAACGGGACATGTCGTTTCTAGCAACTCCGTCATCCCGGTGAAGTTGGTCCGGTCGACTTCCGAGTTGTCCACCCGAAGAAACATAGCGGTTTCTGAGTCCGGAGACCAGTACCCGTATAATAATCTATCGAGTTGAAGCACACAGTAGCCTTTGCCGTCGTATTTGAACATGAACCCGAGACAATTGTTTTTAGCCAAACACCTCGATTCACAAACACTGAAATTAGTGGCTGGCCAATTGGTTTGGTTCGACCCACCTGTGAAATTGACATAATCAAGCCGTAGAAATTTGGTGTTGGCGAGATTCGTGAGCTCAATTTTCCTTTCGCATCCACTATCTTTGATTCCACCGTCGGATTCTTTAAACCCAGGTGGGCATACACAGTATGAAGAACTCGAACCATCGCTGACACATATGGCATTAGGCCCGCACATGCCGTGAACTCTGCACAATTCGTACCCTGCTTGCCAAACGACGGTCCATTCTCTAGGGCTCTGATCGAAACTGTAAATTCTGAGATTCCCGTCGTCGTCTATGGTCAATCTTCGAGATCGGTTCAGCCCGAAATCGGACACAATGAATGAATCTCCATTTTCCTGCTTCAGTGTTCCGGTGGAGTCCAGCATCTGGAAAGCGTTGTCTATGGTTTGATAAACGTCGGTCTGATTGAAAACTAATTTGCTTGCGTTGACGAAGCTGAACTTGCCATTCTTGGAGAAGAGAGTCATGTTAGTCCCTGACATACTCTGGTTTGGCAATATGGTATCGGTTGGAAAACTAAAACTCTCCCACTTGCCAAAGATCAAATTACCGTCGTTGCGGAGGACGAGTCTGGTGGTGTTTGAATTCTGTGAGTGAGGTCCTGGCCACAAGTTTACATTTCCACCAGCGGAGGAGTTGCTGAGACGGAGCACGCCGGCGGCGGTGACGACAAGTCTTGCCGTGAGGCCAACCGGAGTCTTTGCGTTGGTGGACCAAACGACAGAGTCTCCTATGGAGATGTTGCGGTACCAGACTGAGAAGTTGAAGAGATTTGGGGAAGTGGGTAGGGGAAGAAAACCGGCGGCGAAGACCGAGTTTGGGGAGAGGAGGGTTTTGTTCTGCTGAGCTGGAGTCCATGGGGGGTCTCTGATAGAGAAGGCGGACAGTTGGGCTGAGCATGGTGGCGGGTTTGAGACAATGAAGGTGATAAAGAATAGAAGAGGAAGGAGGAGGGGAGACATGGTTTTGGGATTCGTTAATTCATTAATTCCATAGATTTTCTGCGCGGATTGAGATGATGTGGGGATTGGAGGTGGAGGGGAAGTTTGGTTGGTGGTATTTTAATGGCGGCCGACGCAGGTTTGAAAGACTTGTCTGCGTTGACTTGGAAATTTGGAATTGGGACTGACTGCGAGGTTTGGCACTGAGCAATGGGAAAGCCGAACTTTCCAACAGTGATCCCGCCACTAGTTGATGTATTTATTTGTTAATAATACAACTAATCTTAATTAATTAAACACACAAGTTGGAAAGCAAAGCAACAAAACAGAAAGGAGTAACAAATTGGAGGTCTAGAACTAGAAGGCGTGTCTAATTATCTTTGATTCTTGGGTCAATCAATTTCGTGTTTGCCGTAAAACTCACGATCTTCAATCGAGAGGTGCCTTGTTGACCTCGGCTGGACTTGTTTCTTCTGCACAGCCACACATGTGTTCTGGTCAGACATGCTCAACAGGAAATGGGGATATTTTGAAAAAAACAAAAGGGGAGAGAAAATTTTTAAAAGAAGCAAAAATGGACAAAAATGCCCTTATTTATTTTTAGATTTCCTAAGAAATCCAATACATTTGCATGTCTTTGATTTGAAAGTTGAGTGGTTTTTTTGTCTTTTTTAAAAAAAACTTTGGCTTTTTCCAAAAGTGAAAAAAAATTTATGTCTAAAACCTAAAAAACCTCAGAAAATGCTGTCTAAGGAAAATATCTTACACGTTCAGACAGAGGGTATGGGCATAAAAAATGATAAATAAATTATTAAAGAGTGTTTAATTTTTTTTCATTAATTACTCTAGATTTTCTAAGTCACAGAATTTGTCAGCTCGCAATATAATCAACTTAAATCACTCAAACTTACTATGCAATAAATTTCCTTTCAATTTTTTGTGTCAAAATAATAGATGATTGACTAAATAAACCTTTTATGAAGTTTCATTAAAAAATTTCATGTATTTATCACAATTTCAGTGGTTTTTATCTAATTTTTATCAATATCGATATTTTCTCGATATTTCCATTGATATTTCCGTGTTTTTGAACCACCGATATTTCCGAAACCCTCTATATTTAAGACATTGAGTCTAACCAATATATTGAACTTTAACTTCTTTAGGGAGAAGAAATCTATGCAGGCAGGATAGATCATATAGAACATTACCTTGGATAAAATCATAGGTGGTCAATCAATATTAGAAAATGTGCATTCCATGTTGAATTGATGCCTATATATATCTAATACGTGTGGATTGCACATTGAGTAGATGTGCTGCTGGATGTTTCACGGTCAGGCTCATTTGTCCCTTCTTCTTTTTTTTTGGTCACATTGGGGTTTGACGGGTGCGAACGGGGTGCCATGGTGGGGAGGGGGAAACTACAACCACTGTGGAGGAACCCATTGGCCCAGGCTCCTTTGTCTTTCATTTCTGTTTATATCATTATCTTCTAAACTTTTGATGCATGACTTAATGGAAGAGAAAAACCTCATGCAATTTCCATTTTTTGCCGTCAGAAGCACATGACATTCCTCCATGGAATGGAACTAAAACCTTTTCTACATCTTCTCAAGCAGTAGCACAAGCATCTTTGTCAAATATTCCCCCAAATGCTTATCCCCACAGGAATTCACTAAGACCAATGCAAGTGCAAGGCCATTCAACACTAACTCCATCCAACAAGCTATAATAATAGCCTACATACATACATTACAAAGTAGAATGCTTAAAGCTAACAACTATTACCATTTCTTTCAGATTTCAACAAGGCCTGCATCCATTGCAGTAGTTTGTGTAAACAGGGCATGCCAACCAGCGGCGACGAGATTAAGTCCTCCCCTTCAAATTTGAATATCCTTGAGGCTGCTCCATCACCTCCTCATCACCCTTTGGTAAATCTGGTTGCTTCCTTCTACTAAATTTGTTGCATTTGAATGAAAACAAAATAAAAACGAACACTCTTACAAATCTGTCGCCAGCTTAGAAAATCAAACGCAATCGACTCTATAGCCAGATTTATACATGACCAGTGGAAACAACAATGGTTTCTATATCAGAAACCATGCCTCAAGTAGAAACAAATCCTCTAATAGTCACTAAGTTATGATATAAAAAGTCAAGTACGAAAATAATTCTTATCGATACAACTAATGTTTACCACACAGAGAATAAATTTTGTTCAAATTACAGATGCACTTGGGATATGATATTTTATTATTAACTTACATTGTTAGCTCTGGCTTACTGGTGTATGACAAACACAAAAAACCAAGTTCCTAGCTCTGAATGATGTTGAATTTTCTGTAGAAGAATCTTTTGCAGTAAACTAATCGACCGAAGATGAAATCAAGAAACCCCTTTGGAGTTATCTCAGTACATCTTTCTGCATGCATCACAGAGTTGTCTCTTGTTGCATATATTGATTAGCAGCTGGCCTCCTTGTAGTTGTAGCGTCGATCTTACCAAAGACAAGATTGTCATTGTATACACAGAAGCCAGAAAGCAACTCTAACTCCCAGGACATGTGGTGTGGTGTGGCTATATTAATTTTAGGCAAATTTCTCATCCTTGAATAAACAAACCCTCCTCCTGCCGCCCCAAGCTGTCTCTCAACATGCAGAGGCGATTTCGGCAAGTTTGCACTGCTCTAAGAGAGCACAGCTCTGTGAGATATGCCAAGATTGCCACTGTTGGAGGGTTCTGCAATGTTGAACTCATTATCGTAAAAGCTACAGCTCCTGACGACTTGCCATTGCCTGAAAAATACATTCAGGAGCTCTTGAAAATCTTCTCCATCTCTCCATCTTCATTGAGAGAATTTTCACTCAGCTTCACTCGCCGTTTTGGCAAGACTCGCTGCTGGCGGGTTGCACTCAAGTGTCTAATCCTCCTCCATCGTCTGCTTCGTGCTGTCCCTGAAGACAGCCAGTTCCGGTCTGAGCTCCTTTGGAGACGATCCAATGGCTTGATGTCTCTCAGTCAGTGTCACTTCCGTGATGATTCATCCTCGGCATCTGAAGATTACACAGCCTTTATTAGATCCTATGCTCGGCTCCTTGACGAAGCTCTTCATTGCTTTTGGTTGGATAGCAAGCCAGCCTACAATCAGCAAGAACATCACTGTCAAGAATATGCAGAAGAAGAAGAAGAAGAAGAAGACGAAGAAGAAGGGCAATTTGGGAGCTTACCAAATAAAATGGCAGAAGTTGGTCGAATGCTTGAAGTGTTGCCACAGCTGCAAAGCCTCATTGACCTTGTCATGGACTGCCGTCCCACAGGAGCAGCAGCGAAAGCTTTCCTCGTCCAGTTGGCTATGAAGCATATCATTAGAGATAGCTTTATGTGCTACACAATCTTTCGGAGGGAAATTGTTATGGTTCTGGACAGCCTGTTTCAGATGCCATACAGGAGTTGCATATCAGCATTTGGTATTTACAAGAAGGCAGCTGTCCAAGCAAATCAACTCTGTGAGTTTTATGAGTGGTGTAAGGCAATGGGGTTCTGTGGAGCATATGAATATCCCTTCATAGATCAAATCCCACATATTCAAATTCATGCTCTCGAGAATTTTCTCAATGGCATGTGGCAGCTGACAGAGTCCTCTTCTACACCAACTTCTTCACCAACTTCATCAGCATCAGTGCCATCATCTTTCGTCGAGTACTCTAGTTCGACTTCAACAGAGGACGACATTAATAAGGATCACATCCTCGTTACTACGAAATGGGAGAAGCCCTTAATTCAGTTTGATAGAGGTTCTAACGAGAAGAAGCCATTAATTCAGCTTGATAGAGGTTATGACGAGGAGAAACCATTGATTCAGTTTGAAGATGATACCGACGAGGAGAGCTGGGAGAGCCTGCTAGAAGCTTCCATTAACATGTCACCTCCTGCTGCTCAACAGAATAATATGTGCTTCAACAATAATGGAACTTATGGATCATATGGATATTGTAATTACAGGAACGTGGTCCAACATGGAGATCAAAAGGATGCATCGCAGATGCAAATATACAACGCAAATTCTCTTAATCCTTTCTATATCAGCCACTCATCAGGCCAAACTACTTATTTATCCCCAAATCTAGCTGAATAACACTCATCACATGTAATAAGGAATAAATTACACTTTCAGTCTTCATTTTAGAAAACTCTTTGTAGGAATTAGAGTGAATATTTATTACATTTTTTTATGTGCCCTCTTTTTTTTCTTTTTTTCTTTTTTGGGTGTGGTTCAGAAGTTCAGCACTGAGGCACCTTTTTATTGGTTTTACTTCCTAATTAAGATTCAACAAAGGAAAATGATCCAAGAGGAAACTTCTCACAAAGACAAAGCATTTATACTTCATCAACATATAAATGCAATTTTCCTTCTCAAAACCTGAGTCTAACACGAGCCGTCTTCCAGACCCTCTCTCTCGCTCAGACATAACCCGCGACCTCTCTTCTTCAATTACTCTATTTTCCTCGGTGAATTTGCAGGTGAAAAATAGCATAAGCCTTGGGATTGCCAGCTTATACAGGGCCAACCTTGTACTCAAATTTTGTTATAATTTTTTCTTCATGAACTAACCCCAATCCAATACCACAACAATAAGGCTGCGGTTGTTCTTGCTTGTTCCCTTGCCATCATATACTGGGCCAACCTTCTTCTAATATATTTTATTTTCTGGGCATGTTGTTTGGGCTTCTATGAAAATGATCTTGTAACCAAAAGAAGAAATATTTTTTCAAAGGGCCTTATATGGCCCTTAAAAGATGCCTCATTTTTTAACCGTTGAATCAAGTTAACCAATTTGAATCCAACGACTAATAAATCTGATCCAACAGTTAAGAGATATAGTCTCATCAAAGGGCTATGTATAAGGCCCTCACTATAAATCTTGAACGAATTCAGCCCCTAATGTTTCTAGGCTATGTTTCTATTATATACTAGTGGTCCCCAGTCAGTCAAGCTCTAGAGCTTTAGCGTGACTTTGCCTAATCTTTTACACCTTAAGGTTAGCTTCCCACACAAAAAATGTGCGCCATTTGTCCATGACAGAGTTTGGTCTCTTCTTGTTTTTGTCATGTTTTATTTGTTTGTTAAGATCAGTCAATTCAGGCTGCTAGTAACTTTGCGGACACGCATGAAGATGATGAGATGGTTTTCCATATATTTCCAACCATTTTAAGTATTCCTCTAAAATAATTCATTGATCCGGATGGTTGATACACAATTTGCCAAGCCTCTAATTAACTTGATAAAACACACATCAAACACAAGTACTCAATTCGACCAAAAAAAAACACAAGTACTCCAAAGGACGAATTAAGAGACCTATACGTACTCAATATGCTCATCACCATGCACTAAATTGTTGTTGAATATTCTATTATCTACATTTTCAAGTTTGACATGTGCCAATAGTATGTCTAAAATATTTGTATTTTGTACAATGAACTGTGAAAGAAAAAAAAAAAGATCGAAAGCGCCAACCAATGACCCTTGTTTCCTATTCTCATCCTAACATTTTTATAGGTTGATGAATCAAAAAGGCCTCTTGAGCGCCTTAAAATCCATAGTCAATGCACTCCAATCTCTCTCTGTGAATATTCAACACCTTCAACAACTCGGTGGCCTTGTCTTTGGTCCTCTCCGCACACCCTACTTGCAAGAGCAGCAAAGCTTCTGAAAGGCACCCACTTGAGAAGGGCCTCCACAGGCACCCCTCCATCTTCCCTTTCCTCGTATTCTTGCAAAGCTTCCGAAAAATAGGAATTTCTCACACACACACTACGAAGATGCTATAAGGTTATGCAAGTTAATGCCCTTTCTTAGTAAATGGGTTCAAATTGATTTTTCCCTTTGTTTAAATCCCTTTTGTAACCAGCTGATCACTTTCTATACTTGGAAATAAAATTATTCAACCACATCCCTTCATCTTTAAACCACAACCTAGAAAATGTAAAAGGATGTTGACCTTTAGGTTTACGTTGGTTTAAATTTGGGCTATATATAATAAAAACTCAATTAAACAAGGGTAGGATTGAAGTGTGCCGCAATGGTAGAATGGTAGATGGAGAATAGGAAAGAAGTGCCCCAATACAGTTTAAAGAAAGGTCGTGTTTTGGAAGGGATAAAGATGGAGATGAGTTGTTGAGCATGAAAAACAGAGAAGAACAGAAGAGAGAGTTGAAGGAAAAAAAAATAAAAAACGTGTGAAAGTGTGTTGGGAGATGTACTGAAGCTAAAACTCACATCAGTTTTCTTTCTGAAAAATTGATTTAAAAATTATTTAAAGAAAACAAATTGCATTAAATAAAAAATTTGGTTTATTGTTTAGAATTATGTCCACCGTTGGATTTAATCTAACGTTAGTTGACCAAGACAGTCCCTCCCTGGTCCCCTTGGACCAGGTGAACGGGAGTGATATAATAAAAACTCAATTAAACAAGGGTACTTTAGGGTTATTCTAAACTTTAATCAAGCTAGGGTTAATTCTTCTTCATCTTCCTCTTTCATCTTCATCACTGAACTGTCAATCATAACTCCAAAGTCCAAAGTATTGTATTAAAACTCTGAAATAACTCTCTCTCTCTCTCTTCATTTTTTTTTACAAACAGCCCTAATCCAAAAGTTGAATACAAATCCCTAAAATAACCAATCAAGTAAGGCTGCTCGAAGGTCAAACTTGAAGAGAACAGCACTAATGATGCATCCAATCATGCTAATATTACATCCACTCACGACGACATTAGAGCCTTAAATTCCTCATCCTCATATCACTCTATTGATCATACGTGATTTCAGGAATTATATCAATCTCTTGTAATCTTTGTTATCTTGTTACCTTACCATATGTGTTGTATCAATAATCAAACTGTAATTGTATAAAGCAAGCATGAATAGAAATCAATAGTCATCGAGCTATTCCCCAAATATCTGCTCTGTACTAATTCTTCTTCACTGTTCTAATTTTTCTATATGGTATCAGAGCCCATCTGGGCTAAAGCCACTCGATCCTAGATTCTATGACTCCCACTTAGTCTTCTTCTATTTCCTATTCTGCAGACTCCCTAATCTCACAAAACAATTCATCCACAACCATGACCAACCAAACATCATCACTCCCTACCTCATTCAATATTTCTCATCTTTTCCCCACACCCATGGATTGTAATAACTATTTGTGCTGGAAGTCTCAATTTCAGGATATCCTAGAGATTCATGACCTCGAGGAAGTTGTGAAAAGTGATGCACGGCCTGACAAGAAACTAGCAGATGGCTCCATCAATCCCGCCTACTCCAAAGACTTGTGTTGAGTTGGATCAAGTCTACTTCAAAACTGGGATGCGAACTCAGCTGGAGGCAAGTTTTATTTTTGAGTTTCTAAACAGTTTAGGGGTGGTATTGATTTGAATTTGTTTGTTTTTTGAGTTTGGTAACAGGGTTTTGACATATTTTTCTTTGCCTGCAGGTTTAGATTCGAGTTGAGGGAACGGGTTCTTGTGTCGTACTGGGGTTTTGTTGTTTTTGCTTTATTTGTGTATTTGGACCGTATATTTACCATGTTCCTTGGTTTACTGGTAGGGTTAGTGCATATCAAAGCATTCTTATTCCATGCATCACATTAATGTATGTATATGCATGTATTATCTTCCCAGCCGTTACTTCCTTGTTCTTTTGTTTCTTCGTAATACTTTCATTGTGATGTATGTACTGTTACAGGTCTAGCAACTAAGAAGCCCTATTGATAGTAGGAAACACGGTTGTTACCTCGAGCACTTTCCTGTCTGGAGAATGGGCAAGTCTTCCTCTACCCGTTGGGCTTTTGGTTCTGGACAAAATGTTAGAACCCATTGACCATGTCCATTTTGCTGCTGTTTGCAAGGAATGGCGTGCTCTTGCAAAAGACTATAATCACGCAACGCCACGCTGGCGTCAGCTACTTCCTATGCTCATGATCCCTACAAGATCCCAAGAAATTAAGTGAAGAATGCATAGCGTTGCTGAAGGAAAAATGTACAACATTGAGTTGCTGGTGCCTTATAATGACAAGAGATGTTGTGGCTCTTGCCGTGGCCATGGTTGTTTGGCAACTATAGACCTACTAAATCAAGATCAAATAACTATAACTCTAGCAAACCCTTTTCTTTAGGGCTGTTCACGGGTCGGTTCGGGCCGGTTATGGGCCCAAACCGCACGCTGAACCGGGCCTTGTCGGCAGGCTCCAATGCTAAACCATGGACCTCTCTTTTAGGCCCATTTTTCGAGTTAAGTCGAAACCCGAGTTAGGCGGGCCGGGTTGGTTCGGTTCGGGTATTTGCCGAGGCCCAACAAAAGCAACAATTGAAGGCTTTTTTTTATTTATATTTTCCAGGCCCATTCTGTTTTTTTGGACATATTTCAACAATTCAAGTTTTGACAGAAACTGTACAGTTTTTCCAGTTTCTCCAACTCTGCATATCTAAAGTTTTTTCATCATTCAAATACTTAAAAAAAACCTTAAAACCATAGCAAATCATCCACCACACATCTCAAAATACAGAAATTAATAATTACAGTCCATAGCAAATTGTGAGAGTAATCTCAATCACAATTTGCATATTTGGTGGATGATCTCAATCACAGAAATCATTATTTACAGTCCATAGCAGATTGTGAGAGTAATCTCAATCACAATCTGCATATTTTCGAAGTTAAAAGAAAATCCAAATCAAAACAAGTAATTCACAAAAATTAGTCTTGATTGAGAAGCATTCAAATCTTCAATAGTAATCTCCATGTTTAGCACCATGTCTCTTCATGAGCTGCCGAACAAACAAAGATCAAGCAAACCACTAAATAAATCAAAGAGAACCCACATCATATATGATCAAAAAGATTACTTTAAAATCCACCTATAAAAAGAGCACTTAAGAATCCAACATCTATAAATGAAAATTTTAAAGTTCACTTGTATCCTAAATCATAGGATATGGTGAAATTGAATTGCCTTGGGGAAAAGACCCCACCCTGACTGTAAGATAGTGACAAAACCTTTGAGTTCAGTTTAAGCTCATTTTTTTCAAGCTGGTTGCACAAGATATCAGTGAGTGTCTGCACTACACAGAAAAAAGAAACAGATCTGCCACACAGATCGAAACCTATATTATGCTCTATCATCGAAACTAGTACACATACATGAGCCTGGGAATTATCAAAGTCAAATAAGCATAAAACATCAAAACCAAAAGACAAATATGCAGAAATCTAAAAATCATGAAAGATCCATGAATTTATGAAGAGCATAAATGACAGCAGCCAAAATCAAATAGCAACAAGAAAAAACAACCAAAAACCTGACAGTGCTAAATCACAAGAATCCCAGTTGAGAAGATCTGATCTCTTGAACAAGATGACCTTGAAACTTCCACAGATCTTAAAGCTTCTGATCTGCACCGTTTCCATATATTCATACCTGAAACATAAATAAAAAAATCGTGAAAGGGAGATTGAGAATGACTGAGAGAGGGAGAAACTGGTTGAGGGAGACAAGAATGAGTGACTGAGAGATAGCGTGCGTGATTGAGAGAGAGCGGCTGAGAGAGAGAGAGAGAGAGAGAGAGAGAGAGAGAGAGAGCGACCGGTTGAGAGAGAGAGAGTGACTGAGAGAGATCTGGTGAGAAATGTTTGAGAGGAGGAAGAGAAGAGGCGAGAGTTCTTGAGAGAGGCAAAGAGTTTGAGAGGAGAAAGAGAAGAAAGAGAAGAAAGAGGCGGAATAGAAAAAACAAATCGAAGCCCTTAACATGTATTAGGGTTTCGCTCGATCGTGTGTAGCGGAGAGTAGGAAATGGCTTACACTCGACGAGTCATCATTTCACACGTGTATTATTTTTAATTTTTAATAATATAATTAAAATATCCGGTTCGATCCGGTTTTGGGCGGTTTGCTGACAATTAAAACCGATCAAACCCGATTCAGGTACGGTTCGGCCCGTTTTTTTACCGTTTCATCAATTTTTCAGTCTAAAAACTGAACCAAACCACCTTAAGCGGTCTGGTTCGATCGATTCGGTCGGGTTTTCGGTAATAATGCCCACCCCTACTTTTCTTACACTGATGATCATTGGATAGATTTTGGTGACATGCGGTTACCTATTCCGCACTAGGCGATATGGGCATCTTCAATTTAGAGGACGGAACTATCACGAAACATTACTCTCTAAATCCTTGGCATCTGGATATTCTACCCGCACTTTGGATTATGCCACCGTTCAATGGACTCCACTAGCTTCTAGTTTAGTTTCTCTTCTTTACAATTTACAATGGTGCCTCCATCGTGTAATGCTCTACTATTACCTATACGTGCGATTAAGCCTCAGTTTCTTTTTAGGGCTTGTCCAATATAGATCCCTACATTTTCTATTTCCTAAACATATACCCATCACTCTATAAATCTATGTGTAAAACCCAATTTCAAATTTAAATGACTAGTAGGATATAAGAGGTCGTAGTATTTCTATGTTTTTACATCATTGCCATCAAACTTCATATTTTATTTATAATTTATTTCAAGCATTTCATTAACTGCCATAATTGTAATTAATATACTCCCTATTAATAGCATATCAATCACCCCATTTCTTTTAGTTGTCATTCCCTGTCACATCTCGCCCCCTAAAATTACAACAACAAAAAAAAATCTGTAAATTACATATCCAATAATGTACCTATGAAAAATATAATATAAATATATACATATAAAATAGGGAGTTTCACTAAAACACCCAAAATAGAGGTTGAAATTATAAAAAAACCCAAGCACTATTTAAACATATCAACATAATTAGTATGTACAGTTTTATTCATAAACAATTATAAAGTGGATTATTAGTCATGTATAATTCATAAAAAGAAAATAACATAAACATTTTATTAAACAAACCAATTACCTAAATTTGAATTTATTGTTAAATTTTTTAAAAAATATTTCAAAATTAGTTCCTACATCCATTACAACCATTTGGAGATATTTTTGGAATTTGAAAAGTACTATAAATCAGATTTTATGCTTAATTAGGTAACTTGCTGAGTTGGATCATAGTAATGGGTTTTTACTTATACAAATTGGGTATTATTTATAGGAACAAAAAGTGAAGGGTTTTAGGTACGGCAAATTGAATTTGAAGGGTGTAAGCCAAATTTACTATTCTTTTTATGCCATTACATCATCACATGTGGCGGCCTTCGTTTAGTTGGACAACCTTTTTCTAGGGTTATTCATTTCATTAGTTCCCGAATTTTCCCTAAATTTAGACTCGATTTGCATTTGAGTCTCTCAATTTCCAAAATCATTTTCGTGGTCCTTCAACTTTAGTTTCGTTAGGATAAATGGTCATGATGTCAATTTTGTTTACTTTTTATGTTAAATGCAGGGATAAAATTGTATTTTTATATTTAAAAAAATGAAAAAAAAATTATATCTTAAAAATAACAATAAAAGAAAATCAAATAAAAAACCAACAAAAAAAAATCAAGTTTTGGGGAGTAGAAATCTGGATAGAGGGGGAGAGAGAGAGAGAGAGAGAGAGAGAGAGAGAGAGTTTAATTTTAATTTTTTAGTTTTTTTAAATTTTTATTCATATTTTAAACAAAATAATACAAAAAAATCATTTCGCCCCTGCATTTAATAGAAAAGTTAAGAAAATTGAAGACATGACCATTTGTCATAACGAAACTGAAGTTGAGGGATCACGGGAACGATTTTGGAAATTGAGAGATTGAAATATAAATCAGGTCTATGTTCAAGGACTAATAAAACGATTAACCCCCTTTTGCTAATATATTTTAGTATATTATGGGACTTTGTTCTCTTTTGTTTTGCTTAAATTTTTATTTTTTTGGTTATGTTATTTATTTATTTATTCAGGTCAGTCCATTCAAGCTCCTGGGAACTTGCCAACACATGAAGATGAGGAATCGTTGTCCAGATTTCCAACAATTGATGATCGAGTCTATGTTTTACATCCATAAATCACAGAGTCGACACGCGGGGTATTCATCCCAAAAAAAATCATTGATTCAGAGGGTTGATTCATAATTGGCCAAACAATTTTATTAAAACTCAAGTTAAGAAAACACACACCAATCACAAGTACTCAAAGGACCAATAAAAAGACGTACAAGAGCTCAACATGCTGATAAGATTGTTGTAGAATATTGTATATCTCTAAATTTTCAAGTAATGGTATTTTGTACAATCTGATTTACTGTTAATATATATTTTTGAAAGGACCAACCAATGACCCTTATTTCCAATTCTCATCCTAAAAATTGTATAGGTTGATGAATCAAAAAGGCCTCTTGAGCGCCTTAAAATCCATAGAATCAATGCACTCCAACCTCTCCCTGTGAATATTCAACACCTTCAACAACTCGGTGGCCTTGTCTTTGGTCCTCTCCGCACACCCTAATTGCAAGAGCAACAACAGCTTCTGAAAGGCGCCCACTTGAAGGACCTCCACAAGCACCCCTCCATCTTCCCTCTCCTCATTCTTGCACAGCTTCCAAAGAATGGATACCGAAAACTCAGTCGCCAAATCTGAAACCCGAAGTATCTTCTTCACCACAACGGGCAGGGTCAAAGCATGATGGTAGGCCTTTTCCCTCCCTCCCTTGCTTCCGCAAAGTCCATCAAGAACCCCCAACGCCTTCTCGCAAATGCTTCGTTCGGCATCCACAAGGATTTCCGAGAGCAACGAGACCAATCCCATCTCCACAAGTCTGTCTTTGATTTTATCTTTCGAAAGAGGCGACGTGAAATTATTGTTGACCATGTGGTACATGACGACCAAGGAGGCTTTTGTTGAAGTAGGACAAACGGGTTCTTTGATCAACTTTACCAGTGCCTCTAAAGCTCCTTCGATCTCCAGCAAA